CCTGTTGAACAGATTCCAGATGGGGTAAGGTCTCTGTGCAGCCAACCGATATTGCTGGGGCATTGATGACAGCCCTTTGTGCAGTTGCGGCACAACACGGATAAAATACGATACTGATCTAGAAAGAACTGCATCATGCCACTGAAGATGCTATTGCTTGGCTAGATGACCATGCACACACCAAGTATGTACATACATACACACATACACACCAAGAGCAATTACTATCTGTTTACCTGGGATGGGCCTCAAAACTGAATGTTTGGTGCAAAATTTAACCTTAACTTAAATGTGTTTAGGTCAAAGATTTGGAGTTGGGTCCCATCTCTTGTATGTATTTCATAAGAAAATGAAGAGTTGGGTCCATCATTTGGCCTATTGAAGTCTATGATTAAAATATCTCACCCATTTTATATAGGTTTCCCATTTTTGCATCAAATCATTACATTGGGTCCATCATTTGGCCTATTGAAGTCCATGATTAAAATCTCTCACCCATTTTATATAGGTTTCCCTTTTTTGCATCAAACCATTACAACAATACAGCAAAGTATTAAACAACTGGGAAAAGAAAAGCATCCTTTATTTTTCCTCTTCTAAAGTCCTCCTTTTAGTTATCACCCTTGGTGCTCTTGAATGTAAATATAATGTCACAGCAAATTAATATTTGGTGCATGAATGGTTTATTTAATTGCCCTATGCAAGTTCTTAAATTGGAGTTATAGTACACATAAATTAGTGGCCAGTGAGTGTTGTTTAGTTATCGAGAAGTCTTGCTATTGATAGCATGACCTATACCAGTTTTCTTGACAGAAAGATTTGAAGTTGTTATGCTAAACTTCAGGCAATGTGTCATAAATATTTACCCATCCCTTAAAGATGTGCTGGATTCAGCCTCAGGTTGTTAAATCCCCCAAATCATACAAATTCTCATTGGAAGCCAAGATCATGTTACACAAAGAAATCTCAGATCTTGACCATCTACATTTTTTAGTCTCTAAGGTGCTACAAGACTATTCATTATCATTTAAATGTCTTTAGTAAATGAATGTTACCCTAACAATACGATGACAAAAAGAAGCTTGGACTTGAGCACAAGCACATCTCATTCATGCCTGCAAAAAATAAGTAAAAAGAAAAACATTATACAGTAGACTTCCGATAATCCGGAATTTATGGGACTTAGGTAGTGCCGGATTATCAGATATGCCGGACTATCAGAAGGTATTATAAGATGGTTATATATATACTGTATACATTATATACTGTATATAAAGTGTTCTTTACCCTTTTTATTGTACATACTGTATACAGTATACTGTAATGTTTTAGTTTTTTTAAGCCTTTTTTACCCTTTTTGCTCAGTTCAGCTGCTGCCGCTGTTACCTTGGGTCTTATTTTTTGCCGAAGCTCACTCACTAGGCTCTTGCCATTTTGATGCCGGACTATCAGGAGTGCCGGACTATTGGATGCCGGACTATTGGAATTTTACTGTACATAGACATAGACCCATCTCTGTGTAGGTTCCCATGTAGTGCTTGTCAGTGTGGTATCTGACGCTATGTCTACACAGCTACGCTATTTCAGGATATCGGAGTATCCTGAAGTAGCTATCCTGTGTCTTCACAGCAAGCCCATTATTTCAGGCTTGCTACTCTGATGTCCCTGAAAACCTCATTCTAGGAGGAGTAAGGGGCGTTTTGGAATAGCGTTTTTTTCAAACTTTGGCACTTTGTAGACAGCGCCAAATGACAAAATAACCTATTTTGAAATAGCATTGAAATAAGATATGCCATTTGCCTAGCTCAAATTGTGTATCTTATTTCGAGTTACGGTGCAATGTAGTCGTGCCCTGAGATGGTGAACTAATTTTATGCTGATATGTTAAAAATTCATGAAAACCAAAAAGTACAATGGCCATGTCTAGACTACCCTCAGCTTCCAAAAGAAGATGTGCAAATTCACACCGAATTTGCATATCTTCTTCCAATCCCTTTTTTGGAAGAGGTATTTTTTTTAAAGCAGTCTAGATGGTTTTTGTGCAACTCCCCCCCCCCTTTTCAAAAGAACCTTTAATCCTCAAAAATGAGGTTTACAGGGTTCTTTCAAAAAAAGGGAGGTTGCTCGAAAACCCTCATCTAGACTGCTTTAAAAAAAATACCTCTTCCAAAAAAGGGATTGGAAGAAGATATGCAAATTCGGTGTGAATTTACACATCTTCTTTTGGAAGCCAAGATTAGTCTAGATGTGACCTAAGGCCCAAAACTTGACTTACAGTCTCAAAACACATCTTTCATCAAAGTTTTAGGAAAACTATCTGGTGATCTATAAGTCAGGGGTTTGTTTCTTTCCCTGCTTTACCAGTACCAGAAATGCAGGTGCTGCTGGATAAATGACTTCATTATTATATTAGTGGCGTTTTTCTCATTTATTTTTCTCCTTTCAAAACATGGCAATGTAAAACTTGTCTCTAAAAAGGATGTGAGCAAGAATTTCACAAGATCCCTGCCAAAGTTTTGTCAATACAGCCCATTTCCTGTCTGCAACAATTTCCGTGCTATCCCTTGGCCTTTATTTATTTATTTATTTATTTATTTATTTATTTATTGAGGAAAAAGCTGTCTCATATGCTTAATTATGTCAACCTGCATAATAGAGAAATGGATAGGGAGTCCACCAAGCTTACTTTTACATGTGACCTACTGTGAATCAAGATACACTCAGGTCTCGAGAGACGAAAGGTTTGTCCGTGAACCTATTGGGATGCCTTCATCCTATTATGCTTGTTGTTTGTTAAACAAGAGGTTGTGCTCAAATTTACAGAATATACAAATACAAACATGATTCCTGTCCTGAAAAATGTAGACGCTCCAGGATTGTGGATGTTTGGAATGCTGGTTTTTTATATGCTTGTGTCAGGGGGTTGCCACCCCCCTCCCAATCAGCCCCAAAGGATTGTGGGGCAGGAGCGGACCCGCGTTGAGTTCACGGAGAGGGCCCACCCTGCCCACTGATGGTTTACTCTAGGCCTTCAGGGCGGGGCAGGATTCCTACATACCGGGGTACGCCCCGATACGGCCCAAACCCCTCCTCTTTCTCCCGGGGCCCTTGTGCAGTCCGAGTTTCTCATCAAAGTCTATCTCCCGCCAGGCTTACAGTTCTCCCACAGGCAATTGTTCTTCAAACTACCGGAGGCTGCGTAGTGCTTTGAGCCCACCGGAGGGGCGTAGGGGTACTCAGGCCCTCCTGAGCTCCCGAGCCCCGTCCCCAGGACCCTAAGGATAGGACGTCTGGCCCTTACCCGAATGGCGAGGATTGCGTCATTGGCTCCTTACCACCCTTCTCGGGGGGGCTGTCGTTGTCGGCTGCTTCTGCTGGCACCCCCGTCCTGGGTTTCTTTCCTACCTCCACTAGAGTCTGTGTCTGCGAAGTCGTGGTCTCCGACGCATTGTTGGCCTAGTTGGCGTCGCATCCCAGTTCCCCAGTCGGGGTGGGGGACTAGGCAGGTCTGCCGTGTGTTTGGGTCCCTGGGGAGCCCGGTAGCCTCCGATAGTTTCCGGGCTGGTCCTCCCTCTCCAGGCCGCCGCCACTCGGGCTTCTTTGTGCTCGGCCCTCTCTGGCTCTGTCCCGGGGTCAGTGTTGTTCTTCATCGCCTGCCCAGTGTTTTCCCTTGAGCTGGTCAGTGTGCCTCTGGGTCTGGCAGCTTCTGCCCCAATGTCAGCGCCCCCCAGTCGCCACTCTCTGCCCCCCTCGGGACGTGGCCACCCCTGCCCTCATCTCAGTGGCCTCTGCTCCGCTCTCCGTCGTGCGGACGCTCCCCCCCCCCAGGTGGGCCGGCGCTGTGTTTAAATGCGGCTGCCAGCTTCCCGCGCATGCACAACAGCGCGTGTGGCGATTGCACGGCTCCCCGCTCTCGGCGTGAGCGGTCAGTCCACCCGTGTGCGGTAAGGGGGACGGGGCTAGCCCGTCACAGCTTGTTTTTACAAACACTATCCTGGCAAAAAGTCTGGTAGTGCTTTAAAAATTAACAAAACATGAGCCCACAAAAGCTCATGATGCCATTGACATGTTTTGTTAGTCTTTAAAGTGCTACCAGACCATTTGTTGTTTTTTAAGTTTATCCTGTACAGACTGACTCGGCTACCCCTGAAGCTTACTATCCTGGCAGTACAATGTAGCCAGGGGGTTAAAGCAAATAGGTTTCACAGGGGACAGCTGTTGCTCTTCAACTAAAGCAGAGAGAAGCTTCCGCTTCCTCTCCATGTTTTGAAGGCGCAGGGCTCCGACTCAGCTCTCCCAGTTCCTTAGCTAGTGCAAAGCTTCACTGGCTGTTTACGCATACTTCAACCACTGAATCATGGGTGGTGGGTGACCCCATGGCTTGGTAAGACAAACCCTCTGAGCCCTGCCCCCCAGGCCTCCCCATACTGTGGCCAATGCACGCC